TGCTGTCTCCTCTGAGTTTATTAAGGGTGGTGGACAATTCAGAACCCATCTACAGCGGTTGTCTCCATGATTTCATTCTCAAGGTGGATTCTAGTGCAATCCTGTAAACAGTTTGTTCGTGGCTGGTGGGTCTGATGGAGTTAGTAATAGAAACAAAATGATCAGTCAAGTGAAAAGTGATCTCCAGAGTATATTCATTGAGTTATTTAACTGGAATTTGGTGCAAGTGCTCAGTCTTGGGCATTAAAGGACACCAAAGCCAGAACTGTGTACTTAGCTGCTTAATTCAGCTTGATGTCAATGAATATCTGTGGGCTTCTATGGCTAGGTATGAGGAGAAGAGAATGCAAACAAGAAAAAATGTGTTTCTTACCCATAGCCTGCAAAACCAAACTAGCTTTTTGTTGTCTCAGTCTACGTGGGGATTTGTTATTCACAACTGGAAAATGAATTTACTTGCTAGCTGAGATCCAGAAACAAAATGTTTATTTGTCCCCGTTTCTAAATGTTTTTACAGTATGTTCCTGGGAAGGAGGACTACAGAGTTGAGTTATCTACTTCATACTCCAAAATTAGAATAGAAAGATAAACAAGACACCAAAGCACAGGAAATTCAACATACAAGCAAGCAAAAGAGAACTTTATTTCTGAATTTTGCTTTAACCCCAAATGCTGGCCAGATAAGTTGCATGATCACACTGGGAACAAACAGCATAGTGGCCGGAACCCATGAAGTCCATGAAGAGATACACTTCCTACAAACCTGACAGGAGTCTCCAGAGGCTGATGGCTTATGCCCCTTTTCCAATTGCTTTGTCAATAGCTCCTTCTCTAGTCAGGGATCCCAGCTGTTTGGCTACTGATCCCATTATCCCAACATTGGAGCAGCCAGGTAACAATGTGCTTGTCTGGATGATGGCTGAAACCTTTTCACATATCTTGCAGCTCATTTAGGGGTGGTTACAGCCTCATCTATGAATTTTTCCTCTTCCTTCTCCTCTTCCATCTCCCTGATCAATATCTGCCTCTGTTCTTGTGATGGTCTTTACAGTAGTCAGCCTTGTCTGCTTCTTTCTGCTGCTCCCTCTTAGAAGCTCCTTCATCCCTTACTAAATGAGCTGACTTCCAGTATTTCTCCTTGTGTATAGGGGTGACTGATACCAGCACGGATTGGTTCTTTGATTCAAACTCAGTGCCTGTTTTGTTGTCAGACCCAGAGACCTGCTTTTCCTCCTGAGAGCACTGAGTAGTTTTGAACAAGACTCGGTAGGCATGGGCCAGACCCCAGCACACTGCAGTGATTTGTTCCTCTGGAATTACAGGGTGACAGCATCATTTTTCCAAATATTTTACAATTTTTTCAGGATTCTGCACTTTTTCACAGCTGAAATTCCAACGCGTTTTCTCCTGATCAGAGGTGCCCACTGTCCATACTATCCCACACACCCTGCCACTTGTTAACTGTTCAGCCTTGGTGCAGATCTGTGGGTACTCTCAAATAGCTGTCTAGCCCTAAGCATTCAGGAGGCATAGCAATAGGAACACAGTGGTTTGAACAAGATGGGGTTAGTAAAAATTCTCAAGAGCTATTGTACTTAGCCTGGAGGAGAAGGGGAAGATGGAGGAAGGTATCTCTGCCCTAGACTAGATCTTTGAGGATGAAAGATAGAAGGTGTTGTTATTAGTAGTTTCCAACAGATGGCTCCCAAAGTATGGAGATGATGAAAATGCCAAGTACAAACAGATTAGTCTCACGACCAGCAGTTTTGTCATATCATAAACCAGTGCTGGAAAGTACAACTATAGGATAACCTTAACCCAGCCCCTAGAGGTGATAAACACCACCACAGAGAACATATACAGCAAGTAAGGTGTTGGATATCACAACTCTGTGCACATGTGCAACAGCTCTGAGAGCAAATAAATCAGCGTTGTGAACACTGACTATATACTATTATAATGAATGCTTATAACAAATCTGTTTTAATATGCTCTGCTCAGATCTGTTGTTAACTCTTCAAGCTCCATGTTGGATGCCAAAAAGGACTGTTGTGGTTTAACCTGGCAGCCAGTTAAATAGCACACAGCCACTCGCTCTACCTCCCTCATTACAGAGGGATGGGGAGAGAACTGGGTAAAAACCAGCAAAATAATGGGTTGACATAAAAACAGTTTAATAGCACAGAAGAGGAAGGGTAAATAATGATAATAATAATAATAGAATACAAATACACAAATCAAGTGATGCATAATGCAATTGCTCACCACTAATAGACCAATGCCCAGCCAGTTCCCAAGCAAGTTCCTGTGCCCAGCTTTCCCCTAGTTCAAATCCTGACCATGACACCATCTGGTGCTGGATATCCCATGCATCAGTTGGAGTCAGGTCCTGGCTGTGTCTCCTCCCAGCTTTTATGTCCCCCCAGCCTACTCAATGCAGGCCAGTGAAGCTGAAAAGTCCTTGATTAAGTGTAAGCACTGCTCAGCAACAACTAAAACATCAGTGCGTTATCAATCAGCATTATTTTCATCCTAAATCCAAACCACAGCACTGTACCAGCTGCTAGGCAGCAAATTAACTCTATCCCAAACAAAATCATGACCATATTGTAATTCAGTCATTATCCTCTCCCAACATATGTCACACTGCATAGGTTGACACTTATAAGGGATTTTAGCCTGCTGTTGCTAACATGTTTAGTTGGTGCTGGAATTGTTGGTTGGCTGCATACCACTGAGCAAACAAGCACATAGTACATAGTTGAGTAGTAATGGTCACAATAAGAGTAAATTAAATAACTTAATGCAAAAGTCAGGCAGTTATTCAGAGCAAAAACCTCCCAAGTGGTGGTTGGTGTGTCTCCTCTGAGGGTGGAGAGGTGATAACAACAAGCCTAACTGGAGCCTTCAAAAAGCTCATTTAAAAAGAGCAAAGGCAGTGGCCTCCATGTGCTCCTGGTTCTTGACCTCTTATATTTGCAGGCACCACACTTCACTGTGTGATTGGCATAACACTGATGCACACAAAATGAATAAAGAAAGAAAAACAAACCAGAGGGCCAAATAAACAATTTTAGTTTACATTTTTGGCTTTAATTCTCTGTATTTTCAACTAGGACTTGAAAGGCAAAAATCCCAGATCTTGCTTTTCATGTTTTCATGCACCAATGGTCAATGTTTCTGTGGAATTTGGCTGTTTGCATTTCCAGCATATTTCAGCCTGATTTATGAATGTGCACAACACAGTCTGAAAGGCTGGGTAAGTCCTGAGAAGCCAAATCCCTCGCCAAGCATATAACCATAGGAAAAAGAAGAAACTAAATAAGTAAAAGTAAATAAGTATTAAAAATTGAAAAAAACTCTTTCTTCTGAAATGCAGATAAGAAATGTCTTTTAACATTTAAATAACATGCTGGCGAGACCTGAAATGTCTCCTGGCTGAGATTCGATCTCTTGGATGAGAATTAGGGGTTTGCCTGATTTAGGATGTATGCCAATGTGGGAAGGCTTACAGTTGATTTGACAAGCCTTTAGATCAGATGGTATGATTCAGCCTTAAATATTGCAAACAAAAGACGATTAACAGCTCAGAATCTTTAGAGTTTGGTTTTATTTAGTCTACAGAAGTGAAAACTTAAAGAAAAAAACCCATCAATCTTCAGCTAGGTAAAATGCATCTAAAGAGAAAGGGGAGGAAATTCCTCCCTGTGGCTAGGAGGGACAGTGCAAGAGCTAACAGGATCTACCAGCAGCAGTGAAAACTGAGAACAGAACTTGTGAAAAGCCTTTTCAACAGTGACGCTATTTTCAATCCTGGGTCTTGTCAAGCATAAGAGATTGCATAGGCAGGTTAGGAAAATATCAGTTGGGAAGTTTTGGGGCTGAGGGTGCAGAGGGAAGTTTCAGCTGATGTGCTTTTGAGCAGCAGTGCCCATGGCTGATCAGGAAGAGGCACGGGGGTGGCTGGCACAGAGGATGGAGGCAGTAGCAGAGACCTAGCAGCTCTGTAGGAAACAGGCTGTGATGTTCATGGGCACAAATGTTGACATGTGGAGGGAGAAGGAGACTAGAGCTATAGCAGGGATCTCAGGAGCAGAAGGTGTGTCAAGGAGATAACAGAAATGGCAGGAGAGAAAAGAGCAATTGTAGTTACACTAAAATGGTTGGGGAACTTTTTCTAGACCTCTCAGGACAGGATGATTCCTGTTCTCTATTGTTTCTCAGCTGTGCCAATACATCTATCATCAATGAGGAACCAAGGAGTCTTTCAAAATCTTCCCTGTTAGGTTTGGATGTTTGCTTTATCTTTGCTGCTAGGTCTTATTTGATTTTCTACTTATCCTTTACAGTTTAGCTCCATGAAAATGCCTTGTTATAGCCACACACACAGAGGTGTGCCCAACACTCAAACCAGAGGTACCTCACACCTCTTCACAGCAGTACATAGAGGTGTTTCAAAATGCAACTGATGGGCAGAAAGCCCAATACTGGAGGGAAAGCTTCCTCTCCAATAACACAGAGAAATACACTGGTTATAAAGGACGATTAGTCCTCACTGGCATGTAGGGAAGCTCCTGTCATGTTTCCTGAAGTCCTCACCTTTGGTGATGCAGTGGGAACAGCACTGGATGAGGGACCTGCTTGGATGGGTGAGTATGCTCAGGGACTCAGTCAGCCACCTGCTTTGGAGGGAACACAGTGGTGGAGGAAATGCAGATTGACAGGTCCTTACGAGTCCCCTGAAGAATGTGGATCATTTTGCTTTGTGAGTGACACACATGAGAAAACAATCGAAACCAAAAGAGAAGGCGTTTCTGAGTCGAAAGTCCTCCTAGGCCAGATATCTTCTGTAAATTTGCACGTACAGAAAGAAAAAGGATTATATCATTCCTTTTGAAGCCTACATGAAGCTACTTAGGAATTCCCTATGTAGTATTTCAGAAGCAGGGCCTCAGTCCACCGCTCAGCGCATTTTTAATCCAACAGACCACACTCTTCAAAAGAGTGAAACATCCATCTGTATTTTAATCACAGCCACATTCATTTGAAAGACAAAATACAATTATTGCTTTGTAAACATTCCTTCCTTTGATTTCAAATTAAGCTGTTCATGTAACAGATTACTTCAGCTTGGAAATCTCCGTGTTTTACAAATAAGCACAGACCTCTTACTTTTTCATTGAGAAATTTAACATCAAGAGCAATGCTCAAAATAATTAGAGTATTGTATAGCCACAATTCTAGATGCCATGATAAGAACAATTTTTACATTTCCTTTCCAGACATGACCTATTTCTTTTACTCTATACTAAACCTTGAAATAGTTATTTATATCTCATTCATATTGTCTCTCCAGCTCATAAAATTTCTAGGCATTAGGTACATAGTCTCAGAAGAATGTAAGAAGGGAACTAAAGAGGACAAAAATGGTAAGATGATTGTACCAAACAACTCGTGACATGAATGTTGTAATGATTTCTTAATCGTTTAAGAAGTGTTCGGATTACAAAGTTATTCTAAAACACTATAACAGGATAGGATTTATTGTTGATAAAGATATCACAGCTTCTTACAAACGGTACAAATGTGACTGTGGTCAGTGAAGCATTTTAGCAGCTAATGATATGTGACATTTGCCTTGTAGTCACTGAGTGGATGATGCTGACCTCTGAGCTTACATTGTCCCATGTGAAAGCAGTTTCTTCAGTGCAGGTCTTGCAAGAAACCCAGCAAGAACAAAAACGACAACTGCGAGGACAGCGACAGCAGCAACGACAGGTGCGAGGGGGTTATCAGCAGCAACCGCTTGGGGAGGAGGCAGAGAGGAGTCCAGCCCTGAGAGTGAAGGCAGAGGGGGTAGATCTCAGTTTATTAAAGATCAGGACACAGAGAACTGATGTATTAAAAAGGATGGCTCCCAGAACAGAGCATGAATTAGGCTAACTTCACTGCTTTAAGCTATTTGAACATGCTTTGCATTAACAGGGATGACAACATAACTAAGCAAACTTGACAAGAGGAAGACAGCTAAGGGAATTAAATGGTTCCCAAGGCTGAGCTGGGCATCATATTAGCCATTAGTTCATTGGCTCCAGCAGACTGGAGCTAATTAGTTCAATGGAGTTATAGCACCAAAAAAATTCATGGCATTTTCATAGCATCCAGTTTCATCGAATCATAGAATGGTTAAGGTCCCTTCCAACACTAACCATTCTATGAGTCTATGGAAATGGGGAACACGCTGCCTATCCTTTGGGACAGCCAAAGCAGTTATACTTTTATACATGCAGGTCAGAACAGGGGGCTTACAATGTATTGAAAGAAGAGATTTGTGGACATTTGGCTCAGCCAAAAAAAATCCCTTTTTTACGGTAAAGTTGGCAAAATCAGATTTCAGTGGCAGATGTAAGAAAAGCTATGGCTTTTCTTGAAGTCCCAAGTAGGCTTAGAGTAAAAGAAGAGGAAATTATTTGACTTTACCAATATTCCTACTCTTAGCACCCCCTCCTTGAAGCTGAAGCGGCCCGACAACCACGTTCACTCTTTCCTCAGCAGAACTTGCTTCTCTCTTGGCCCTTCTAACACAGCCCCGGTAGCAGCGGGAGGAATAGTCACGCAGCCTGCACACCACCAGCTCGCACCGCAGGTACACTAATGAATGCCGGCTGATGAATTCAAAGGCGTTAAACTTGAACCGAGCAAAGTGGCTGTAGGGGGAGTAGTATGTGGCATAGGAAGAATCTCTAGGACACCTAGAAAGAAAGGAAAAAGAGAATTAGGCTTCATGTATATACATGTGTGTAGTCCTGCAAAAATGCAATAGGTTAAAACAAAATTATATCACCGCCAGGTGCTAAGAAAACAATGGGACAAAGATTCAATTTTTATAGTGTTGTATAGACTTGTAAATAGAGACTTAAGTCCTATGAAGAAGCCAGAGCACTGGCAGCTCTTTCTTTCCAAGAGAAGAATATTCTATTTAGGCCAGGTTGGACAGGGTCTTGAGCAACCTGGTCTACTGGAAGGTGTCCCTGCCCAAGGCAGGGGGGTTGGAAATGGATGAGGTTTAAGGTCCCTTCCAACACAAACTATTCTATGATTCTAAGTGCTGAAGAGGGAAGAACAGACTTTTACTAATGCCTGTGCTATATGAGTCATAAAAAATTATTCTAATGCTTGACCTGATTTTAGTAACATATTTCATGCCTAAGATGATAGATTCCTGCTGATAGTTTTCACTATCTCATCTACCTCCCACTACTTGGATTTTGCATATAGGACAAGGATGAAATAAGGGAAATGAAGTACTAGTAAAGTCTTAATGTAAAGTCTCATTTCCAGGTTCATACTGTAAGAATAAAAACTCAAGAGCCCCTCTTAACTGTCTGTGGATAGTGAGGTCTATACCAATTCAGATCGGCTCTAGTCTTTTAAATAAATGCAGAAAGAGTATTGTAGCTATGCTTCTAACAGCTTGCGAAAGCTCTTACCCATTCCTGATTATATCATAGGCCAGTCTGTTAAAATCATAAGGATCAGGTGATGCCACACATGTGTCCACAAACAGGATCAGATCTGGATCAGAGCTGTGAAGATAAGCTTGAAGGTACAAATCTTGGTTCAAGTCAATGTAGTACGGAGAGTCGTGCACTTGCCGCAAGAATGATGAGGAGTCATAGAAAGTGATGTTCATGGTGTATCTTCCAAACTGATTTTCATTCATATCAACAGTGTCCTCAGCAACATACATTATTTGCATCCATGTTTTCTGTAGCATTTTGCAACTGATGTGTAAGTTAATATTCTTTTTCCTCCTGATTATGTACCCAGAAGAAGTAACTTTGATGGTGTTGGAATAGTTGATAGTATCGTTGTTCTCCTGTTTAACATGAAATTTAAAATGAGGAATTGCATTTTTGTCATGTTACATGTTCTAAGCTTTGGTAGAGTAACACAAAGTTTGAAAATGCAGATTTATCTTAAACTCTTTAAACCAAGAAGTTGATATTGGACTTTGCTGCTCACACATTCTAAACAAACTTGCTGAAGTAAGCTATTGAACAGAAATTAGCGGAGAAAACTTCTGTTAACTCCAAGGCAGAACCATCTCATTGAACATCTGTACCAAACATCAATCGTGTGGTGCAATTATCCCAAAACTGCGTGGCACTTACAAGACTACATCTGCTTTAAATCAAGGAGAGTTCATATAACTCCTCATGCTTTCCTCCTTAGAAGCTCATTTCTAATAAGCATGGGGATTCCCTAAAACACTAAAATCCTCTGTGTCTCATTGGTTCGCTTTATACTGTAGGCCACAAGTGCCCTTCATGACTCTCTTCAGTGCGGGGTTCTGCAATTCAGGATAACACATACCTCTCGTGTCGTCCCACAGTCGTTGTAGGGAATGTTGAATATAACCTCACGTGATGTGATTGTTGGTCTACAACGATCATCATTCAGAGAGACCATCTCCGCTGAGTAGCCCTGAGATTGGAGGTAGTCTGTGCTAACCACTGCATGCATGTAGTCTGGTAAACACTGAAGGGCTGGTAGAAGAAGATACCATATATTAGTAACCTTATGAATTTGTTAATGTTTAAACGTTGTCATTGAACCAATTGTTGTGTATTTCTTCATTTAGAAGGGAGGCAGTTCACATACCAACCCATCATATTCACACACATCATGTAATTTTCCTAACATCTTTAAATACACACAAATCTTTATTTTGCAAACAAAAGCAATAATTAGGCTTGTATGTTAATAAACACCAACCAACAACTTACTAGAGTTGTGAACTGATGGAATGGACGAGTAGTGAGCCTTAAACCCTCTGAAGGTGCCACTAGAATCGCTGTGAAAGTGAACGGTCATCATGTTTGAAGAGGATGTGTATGTGGGAAAGGAACCAGAGCAAAGTCTTCCAAGAAGAGGGGAGGAATGTAGAGGCCCGTCGTAGATTTCAATGTAGTCATACTGGCATCTGCCACTTTGCATCCTGGCAAACAAATGTCAGCACCTTGTCAAAAGTGTTTCAGAAACTCAGATTTACAATGTTATAAAATCAGCACTTAAGGTTTTCATGGCTGAGGGTTTATTCATTTTGTATGTAGATGTAGCAGAAAATTGTGAGCAGAAAATACTACAGTAATCCAGATTTTCTTCTGGTCATAAAATCATAGTCATAGAGAAGCTTGGGTTGGAAAGGACTTTAAGATCATCTAATTTCAACCCCCTGGCATGGGCAGGGATGCCTCACACTAGACCACATTGCTCAAAGTCCAACGTTGCCTTGGACAGTGCCAGAGATGGAGCCTTTCAAGTGCTGGATGTTACTGAAAGAATCTTTAAAATTTGGAAGGTTTCCTGTTTCAGATAGGTTCCAAACTTCTCACGTATATTTTGACTCTGTTATTTGCTCAGGGAATCAGTGTTTTACTTACTCAATATCTCTAAATGTGAGCACAACACGGAAATTGTTCTCTACTTGTATTTCCCACACGCAGTCAGCATTGTTTGGATAACTTCCAGGGTAGAAGGGAGTCTGCAGCATCCCAGAGGAATTTGAGATTGAGCCACCACAAAAATAAGGTGCTGCAGAAAGAAATGGAAGAGAATTTACTTACAGTAACCTCTACAAAGTTGTACTTGAGGTGTATGCGTTCCATCCATGGCTGCTGAAGAGCAGGTCTCCTGCTAACTGCAGGTGATACTCTGTAAGACTCAATCAAGACAAACGTTTTTCCCCCTTTAGGTTTACTTTCATGTTGGATTTGGAATTTCCTGTCACATCCATGGTGTCAGACCACTCTCTTCAGGCTGGGGTTTGAAACACCTTGGTGCTTTCTGCTCTCATCATTCCTTTCTGCAGTTGAGGTCTAATTCAGGGGGTCACCACAGCAGTCAACATGGAAGTACCTTTCTGAACAAGGAGAATCCCTTCAGTTACCTTCCTGCTTCTCTTTATTCCCCTAATTCCTCAAGTCCTAAAGACTTCAGAGAATGAATAGATTGCAAGTCTTCTAGGAAACCTAATTTTATTATCACAGACTGAAATAAGCATTCCAGGCTGCTGGGCCAAGTTTTAAATATGTCTTATTTCTACTGTAAGTGTAGCTGCAAAAAGTTTTCATCATCTTGCCAGATGAATGACATACAATTCTTATGTTAAATACACAGATAATCCTAAAAGTTTCCTGATAAGAAAGTGAGCACATGCTATGAATATAATTCCTATAAGATGTGACACATAAAGGGAACAACAACCCCCATTCAATATTCCTGCACAGCACACTAATCCATGGCTCAGGATTTTGGAATTTTCAGGCTATTCCAAGCTTGGGAGGATCAGCTGTGCTTAGATACTGCCCATTCTCCTGATCAGACTGGGTGGGCTCTCAGACACCTTCACTTTTGTATTGTCTTCTACTGTGAATCATAGAGTCATAGAATAGTTAGGGTTGGAAAGGACCCTAAGATCACCCAGTTCCAACCCCTCTGCCATGGGCAAGGACACCTCACACTAAACCATGTCACCCAAGACTCTGTCCACTCTGGCCTTGAACACTTCCAGGGATGAGGCATTCATACTTTCCCTGTTGTGGATGGTCAAGGCAAAAATAGGCTGATGACCATGACAGCTGAGGCAAGCAGAATAGCCAAAAGTTACACATTGCAGTAGTTGAACACCACCTTACCAATAATAATGCATGTGAGAGATTTAGACCACACATCCTTAAGCTTTGACCTAGCTGAAGATCCCAGTGAAGAAAGGGCTTGCCTACAGCCAACCATCATAACAGAAAATTAAACATCACTGAAATGCAAGAAGATAACACAGCTTTCATAAGAATTATCATGCAAGTTTAAAGGGATATTTACATAGAAACAAAAATCAATTAAAAGGCAAAACAAAAACCAAAAGGTAGGCAGCCCAGAAACAAAAGAAGGAGAGAAGAGGCAAAGAGCATTACCTGATGGAGGTGTCGGGGTGGCCACAGCAGCTGTGGGTATAGAAGAAGAGGCACAGGTGAGACGTAAAGCTCAGGAGAAAGTTGCTAGAGCACAGATGTGGCCCCAGCTTAGGGCACAGGGTACCACGACAGGGATCGGGGTGAGGAGAGGATGGGGACATCATAGAAGACTGGGCACAGAGGACCATGAGCTCCATGGTAACCCCAGTGCCTTTGCTGCCCACAGACCTGCACAGACAACGCCGGCGTCCTCCACGTGCCGGCAGTTGTGCATGCCCCAGCCGTTGTGCCGGCACATCTGGAGCGAGGGCTCATCCCCGCGGCACTGCACGTCGTCCAGGAAGATGCGGCCGGAGCCGGGCCCGAAGCGCGCGCTTCCCGGGGCGGCCACGGGTTCCCCGCAGCCCAGCTGAGCGCACACCACCCGGGCAGCGCGCAGGTCCCACAGGTCGTCGCACACCGTGCCCCAGCTGCTGCCGTCGAACAGCTCCACGCGGCCCTCGCAGCCGTGCCTCCCGCCCAACAGGCGCAGGATGGGCCCTGAGACACGGCACAAGGCACCGCGTCAGGGTCCTGCCGGCCCCACACACGCAGCACCCACCTCCCCGGCTGATGTGGGCACAGTGACCATAGGATGGGGTGGTGCAGACTGAAGGGAGCAGGGGAGGGCAGTGACTGAGCAAAGACCCCAGTGTGCAGGAGGCAGATTCCCCCTGCATAGGGACATCTGGGGGCCTGTGGGAGCTGCGTGGGGACAGAGTCACTTGAGGCATGGGGGCATGTGTATAAAACCCATTTGTACATGTTCAGTGTGGCCCATCCCCTAGGGGGGACCCCTCATGCACCATGGAGAGGGGAACAGCAGCCTTGCACTGGTCAGGCTTTGGCCAGCAGGTCCCTTGTCCTCTCCTCTTGTGTCCCTGCAAGGCTGGGGATAAGGGGATAAGCTCTGTGAGCACTTATTACCTGTTGTGTTTGTCAGCTGGCTAGGAGAGGCTGTAGGTGCTGCTGCAAGGAAGAAGAGGGTGTGAATGAAAAGGCATTAGGCTTGTGACAGTGAATGGAAAAGGACATGCAATGCTGGAGCACTAATGGGGGAAGAGGAAATGGGGCACTATTCTGCCATGCCCCCATCCAGACAACATCCTGACATGACCCCAGTACTGCCCCATTCTCCCCATGCCATGATCCTGTCATCCTGCTCTTCCCACCACACCAGCCACCTACACCTGTGAGCATGGAGATCCTGCTGTGCTCTCAGTGTGCAAACCCAGGGTGCCAGCACTACCTGTGCTTCCAGCACCAGGCAGGAAAAGACCCCGACCTCACTGCTGTGCCCTGGCTCTACTGAGGTACACAGACATGGCTGCTCCCAAGGGAAGGCACCGAAACCCACCCACTGTGATCAGCGGTAACCTCAGTGCCTTTGCTGCCCACAAACCTGCACAGACGACGCCGGCGTCCTCCGCGTGCCGGCAGTTGTGCATGCCCCAGCCGTTGTGCCGGCACATCTGGAGCGAGGGCTCGTCCCCGCGGCACTGCACGTCGTCCAGGAAGATGCGGCCGGAGCCGGGCCCGAAGCGCGCGCTGCCCGGGGCAGCCACGGGTTCCCCGCAGCCCAGCTGAGCGCACACCACCCGGGCAGCGCGCAGGTCCCACAGGTCGTCGCACACCGTGCCCCAGCTGCTGCCGTCGAACAGCTCCACGCGGCCCTCGCAGCCGTGCCTCCCGCCCAACAGGCGCAGGATGGGCCCTGTGACACGGCACAAGGCACCGCGTCAGGGTCCTGCCGGCCCCGCACACGCTGCACCCACCTCCCCGGCTGATGTGGGCACAGTGACCATAGGATGGGGTGGTGCAGACCGAAGGGAGCAGCGGAGGGCGGTGACTGAGCAAAGACCCCGGTGTGCAGGAGGCAGATTCCCCCTTCATAGGGACATCTGGGGGCCTGTGGGAGCTGTGTGGGGACAGAGTCGCTTGAGGTACGGGGGCATGTGTATAAAACCCATTTGTACATGTTCAGTGTGGCCCATCCCCTAGGGGGGACCCCTCATGCACCGTGGAGAGGGGAGCAACAGCCCTGCACTGGTCAGGCTTTGGCCAGCAGGTCCCTTCTCCTCTCCTCTTGTGTCCCTGCAAGGCTGGGGATAAGGGGATAAGCTCTGTGAGCGCTTATTACCTGTTGTGTTTGTCAGCTGGCTAGGAGAGGCTGTAGGTGCTGCTGTAAGGAAGAAGAGGGTGTGAATGAAAAGGCATCAGGCTTGTGACAATGAATGGAAAAGGACATGCAATCATAGAATCATAGAATAGTTAGGGTTGGAAAGGACCTTAAGATCATCAAGCTCCAACCCCCCTGCCATGGGCAGGGACACCTCACACTAAACCATATCACCCAAGGCCTCGTCCAACCTGGCCTTGAACTCTGCCAGGGATGGAGCATTCACAACCTCCCTGGGCAACCCATTCCAGTGCCTCACCACCCTAACAGGAAAGAATTTCCTCCTTATATCCAATCTAAACTTCCCCTGTTTCAGTTTTAACCCATTACCCCTTGTCCTATCACTACAGTCCCTAATGAAGAGTCCCTCCTCAGCATCCCTATAGGCCCCCTTCAGATACTGGAAGGCTGCTATGAGGTCTCCACGCAGCCTTCTCTTCTCCAGGCTGAACAGCCCCAACTTTCTCAGCCTATCTTCATACGGGAGGTGCTCCAGTCCCCTGATCATTCTCGTGGCCCTCCTCTGGACTTGTTCCAACAGTTCCATGTCCTTTTTATGTTGAGGACACCAGAACTGCACACAATGCTCCAAGTGAGGTCTCACGAGAGCAGAATAAAGGGGCAGGATCACCTCCTTCTACCTGCTGGTCACACTCCTTTTGATGCAGCCCAGGATACGGTTGCTTTCTGGGCTGCAAGCACACACTGAAGCCGGCTCATGTTCATTTTCTCATCGACCAGCACCCCCAAGTCCTTCTCTGCAGGGCTGCTCTGAATCTCTTCTCTGCCCAGCCTGTAGCTGTGCCTGGGATTGCTCCGACCCAGGTGTAGGACCTTGAACTTGGCATGGTTGAACAGGGGAAGAGGAAATGAGGCACTATTCTTCCATGCCCCCAACCAGACACCATCCTGACATGACCCCAGTGCTGCCCCATCCTCCCCGTGCCATGATCCTCCCATCCTGCTCTTCCCACCACACCAGCCACCTACACCTGTGAGCATGGAGATCCTGCTGTGCTCTCAGTGTGCAAACCCAGGGTGCCAGCACTACCTGTGCTTCCAGCACCAGGCAGGAAAAGGCCCCGACCTCACTGCTGTGCCCTGGCTCTACTGAGGTACACAGACATGGCTGCTCCCAAGGGAAGGCACCGAAACCCACCCACTGTGATCAGCGGTAACCCCAGTGCCTTTGCTGCCCACAAACCTGCACAGACGACGCCGGCGTCCTCCGCGTGCCGGCAGTTGTGCATGCCCCAGCCGTTGTGCCGGCACATCTGGAGCGAGGGCTCGTCCCCGCGGCACTGCACGTCGTCCAGGAAGATGCGGCCGGAGCCGGGCCCGAAGCGCGCGCTGCCCGGGGCAGCCACGGGTTCCCCGCAGCCCAGCTGAGCGCACACCACCCGGGCAGCGCGCAGGTCCCACAGGTCGTCGCACACCGTGCCCCAGCTGCTGCCGTCGAACAGCTCCACGCGGCCCTCGCAGCCGTGCCTCCCGCCCAACAGGCGCAGGATGGGCCCTGTGACACGGCACAAGGCACCGCGTCAGGGTCCTGCCGGCCCCGCACACGCTGCACCCACCTCCCCGGCTGATGTGGGCACAGTGACCATAGGATGGGGTGGTGCAGACCGAAGGGAGCAGGGGAGGGCGGTGACTGAGCAAAGACCCCGGTGTGCAGGAGGCAGATTCTCCCTGCATAGGGACATCTGGGGGCCTGTGGGAGCTGTGTGGGGACAGAGTCGCTTGAGGTACGGGGGCATGTGTATAAAACCCATTTGTACATGTTCAGTGTGGCCCATCCCCTAGGGGGGACCCCTCATGCACCATGGAGAGGGGAGCAGCAGCCTTGCACTGGTCAGGCTTTGGCCAGCAGGTCCCTTCTCCTCTCCTCTTGTGTCCCTGCAAGGCTGGGGATAAGGGGATAAGCTCTGTGAGCACTTATTACCTGTTGTGTTTGTCAGCTGGCTAGGAGAGGCTGTAGGTGCTGCTGTAAGGAAGAAGAGGGTGTGAATGAATGAGCCCAGCATCCTGCTGTCCCCACATGGGCTCCTGCATCAGGGAGCCTGAATGCATGGTGCAAGGCCATGGATGTGTGTGGTGGGTATGAGTTACCTGTTGAATGTAGTCTCTCTGTGCTGGCAACTGGGGCTGTGGGTGCAAAGATCAATTTGGTGTCAATGAAGAAGGCTCTAAGCCCTGTCAGTGCATGTCATGCACCCTGAAGTAGCCTGACATCAAGGAGCTCCTGTCCTATGGTACTTCATACCATGTCTTTCATTCAATTGAAATGACCATCATGACTTCTCTGTTTCACACAACTACTTGCTCCCTGGACAGGAGCCATATGGCAACTGAGGTTTAACTTGTATTACAAAACGTTTGAGTCAGCATCTTTTCCACTCACATTCCAAATCCCAGAGTATGTCTAGGCAATAGCTATGGTACTACCTGTGCTGGAGCTGAAGGGGCTAAGTCAGAATGATCCCCTGCCACAATCCCCCCATTGCAGTGACAGAAAATCCCTTCCTGAATAGTTTCCTTCACCAGCAATGGTTACAGAGGACTTGTCCTCTTGCCTTACCATGCCCCCCCCCCCCAAGTTTACCACCTCTTCTCCATGCTCTGCTTCCATCCTCATTGTGGACTTGGGTGGCAAGAATGAAGTTTGCTCAGAGATGGGAGACTCCCTCCAGTGCAGTCAGATCAGAGAAATCAGAGGCACTAAGGAGATCAGTGAGGGGCAGGGTTACCTGTTGTGCTGTCCTGTGCTGTGGTATCCATTGGGACTGTGGTGGCAGCCTCTGCTGTGGAGGACATTTCCTCTATGGAGGTTGCTTGCATTCCTATGGTTGTGTCCAGTGGGGAGGTCAGTAGTGCTGTGGTGGCCATTGTTGCTGAGGAGGATGTCGTTGCCAGGGAGCTCATTGGTTCTGCAGTGGTTATCCCCTCTAGGGACGTTGTCTCCACTGTGGCAGACAGTAGTATTCCTATCTCTGTCTCCAGTTTGGAGGACGTGTCTGCAGTGGTTATCTCCTCTGCAGCAGAGAATGATGCTGGGGTGGTTGGGGAGGTCTTCTCTGCTGGGGAGGACATCAGTTGTGTGACGTTTGTCTCTTCTAGGGACGTTGTCTCCGCTGTGGTGAGCATGTCTGCTATGGACGTCATTGGTTCTGTGGTGGTTGTTTCTGCTGGGGAGGACACTGGTTCTGTGATGGCTATCTCCTCTAAGGACATTGTCTCAGCTGCAGAGGTCGATGGTACTATGGTGACCACATCTGATAGAGAGGGCAGATCTGTTAGAAAGGTCGTTGGTTCTGTGGTGTCTGTGTCCTCCGTTATGGAGACTGCCAAGGCTCTCTTCAACCTGGCCTTGAACACCACCAGGGATGGAGCATTCACAGCTTCCCTGGGCAGCCCATTCCAGTGCCTCACCACCCTTACAGTAAAGAACTTCCTCCTTATATCAAAACTAAACTTCATCTGTTTAAGTTTTAACCCGTTACCCCTTGTCCTATCACTACAGTCCCTAATGAAGATTCCATCCCCAGCATCCCTCTAGGCCCCCTTCAGATACTGGAAGGCTGCTCTGAGGTCTCCACACAGCCTTTTCTTCTCCAGAAGATATAACTTTGCCTCTAATTTTAACATGTTTCCTTGCTCTCTTTGTCACTGCTGGGTGGTTTTATGCTGTGATAGAATTAAGGTTCTGTGTGTAGCAATGCAAATCTGATCCATGGATTTTTAATTGCTGTGCATGCAGTGAGCAAGCACAGTTTGTAAACTACTGTAGTGAGAAAAATGTGTTCCACAATGGCTCTTCCGGGTGAGCAGAGTGAAAAGACAGGGCTGTTGGAAGATCAGGCTCTGCTTCCTGAGAGTTTTCCTAGGGAGTGTGCCTTTCTACAGACAGAAAGCTCTTCAAAATAAAGTAGAAAGAAAGATTAGACACGTATCTGGTATATCTGGTATAGCTTTCCACCATATGTCTCGAACAATTGAAATGTTATCTCAGGAGGAGAATGCCTCCATACCCCCATGCCCATACATGTATATTGAGTGCAATTTATAGCAAAAGTATTTAGAAAAAAAAACGTGACAGCACCTGAACAGACAACACCAGCATCTTCATAGTGGGCACAGTTGTGTATCCTCCATCCGAGATGTTTACAGAGAAACAAGGAGGCCTCGTCTCCGTTGCACTGCACATTGTCCAGGAGGATATCACCTGAGCCTTGCCCAAAGTAAGCACTGCCTGGAGCCGCAATGACCCCGCCGCATCCCAGCTGCCTGCACACAACCTGGGCATCAGAATGGTCCCAGAAATCATCGCAAACTGTCCCCCACTGTCTTCTGTAATAGACCTCAATGCGACCTTCACATCTGTGCCTTCCGTTCACCAGCCGGAGATGGGTCACTGTGGGAAAGAGGGAAATGAGCACAAACAAACAAGCTGGAAGTGACATTAAGAAGTCTGTTAAGATGAAGGCCAGGTTGGAGGGGGCTTGGAGCAACCTGCTCTAGTGGAAGATGTTCCTGCCCACAGCACAGGGTTGGAAATGGATGAGCTTTAAGGCTCCTTTCCACACAAACCAGTCTAGGATTCTACAATCTATTTTGTCCTTTTGCCTTGTTGCTCTTAGTAGGTGCTTGCCTAGCCCAACATTAAATGCCTGTAAGGACAGAGGTGATACAGACCTTTTTTCTTTCTCTCTTCCAGATCTCAAAATCAGCTACATACATTTTATGTGAGATTTCGACAGAAAAATTAGACAGCAGGCTAAGCACAAACTATTTCAGCAAGAAAGGATATTCTTAAATAAGGAAAGCATAATAGGAAAGCAAAGGAGAGAAAATGAATTTCCGTATCTAAATGAAATCTAAGTAAATCTGTATTAAGAAAATAGCACTTTTTTTTTCCCCCACTTTGTTAATAGGAAAAAAATGGCATGCTTTAGGAACACTTTTCAAATTTATGTATTTCTTTTATTCCCTTAAATGTTTGACAGAATGGACAATGGTCTCAATGGGATAACAAAAATTTCAATAGGAATCCAGTGGCTTTATTTCTTTTATGCCAATAAAGAAATGGCTAATGACCTATATATCATGAATACCCTGATTACTGCATTCATTCAGGTAAAGCCCATCTGCTTTCCAGATTGAGTTAGCTTGTTTAGACATCCCACAATGAATAGTATGAGAATCCTGATTTGATTCATTTTTGTTGAGAGAGTTTATTAGAGACTTTACCACCAAGTGTAAGTGAGCAAATAAATGTTGTAATTTAAGATTTGCAGTATCTACACTTTGGAAATCAAACCATGCATGCTGCACTTATACTTTGCCAAATACATATTTAGCTTGTTATTAAACACTGAATAAATCATCCAAAGCAAAACAAATCTGAGAAGTTAACCGCCCCAGAATTTCTTCACTGCATCTAATTCATTGTTGTTGGACTAGAAGAACAGTCAAGACTGAGTCCAAATTAAATCTGTTTCTTTTTGTGTGCATGTAACTGGCAGCTCAAAGGGAAAAGATACAGAAGTGCCTCTTGACTTACATCTGATTTGTTTCTTCATATATCTATTTGGACATGCATATTGTCGAACCTCACTCGTAGGGTTTTTGAGGAGAGAAACCACAAAGCTGGCAAAAAGTCAGAATGGGATTAGGAAATAAAAGCTGATCTGAAAGTTCTATTTGCTTTCACTCAGGGTCTGTCATCACTGTGAGATCTGTAATTAGATGGGTTGCATCCTGCCTCACACTTTAGAGGTGTCAGAAAGACAAAAGGCTGTGATTATACAAATACAACACTTACTCTGATCCAGGAGACAGAGACAGGGGCTGGGGAATGAAGCCAAGAACAGAGATAAGAGCTGGAGCAGACAGAGAGAGATGGCTTACCACCAGGCAAGCAGAGCACAGACAAAAATGGTTAAAGTGGATGATGGCAATATAAATTATCATAATGATGCTTAAATAACTAGAAAAACCAGCTGCAATTATTCTAGACTATACATTGATCTATTTAACTCAAAGTCACCTATGTGGCCTAGGAGACAGAAACTAATCAGGTAAGTCAAAAGTCAATGGCCATAAAAAAGTTGAACTAAAAGCATTTCATAGAATCATAGAATATGCCCCTTATTTATCTGGAACTGGATTATGAAAACTAACTCACTGTATTTCATTAAATTGCACATAATATCAAGAAGAATCAAATAATACAAGCAATATTAAGTATATAACATATGTGTGCATGGAATAAATATACATTTAAAATAAAAGAATGAATTCTTTCATAACTCTTAGGTCAGACTTTTGGAACTGGAAGAGTGACTCGATCATAACACACTCACAGACACAATTCTTGCAATGTGCAAGGCACGAAGACAAAGATGACCCTGTGGCAGCAAAATTAACTCCACTAAATGGTTTAAATCATTCTTATCACTCACTATGAGGATTAGTTCATAATTTTAGTAGAACAAAACTGTGCTATCTCTTTCATCCAATTTCTCTTTTCATCTTTTGCCCATACTGATGCCAGCATGAATGTAATTCTTATCTGTGAAACCACCAGAGAGGACCCCAAGCAGTTTTATGTAGTTTTGTGCACCCTGGAGCAAGTCTAAGTGCTTTACCTGATTTGGCCTCCAAAACTGCTGGACCTAACAAGAGTAGCCATGTCAAAATCGTAGTGGCACCCATCTCACCAATTGCTGTTGACAGAAAGGACAGTCAGAATATATAGTTTCTATTTCTGAGGGGGTGGGGCTCTTTAGGTTTCTTTTTCTACAGGAGAACAATAAAGCAACCACACTCCTATAATCTAAAAACAACACATGTTTGATTTGTTGTTTAAGATTTTGTAACTTCCTGGGTTTTGCAGAAGGATTACATCTCAAGAGTAATTTTCCACTGTTACCATAGGTTTCACAATCATCTCATTGTACAAAGAAAATGAGCTCCTATCCGAAGATACCTTTCAATTCTGGCTGATAAATCTCAGGTTTTTTCCTTTTATAGAGAGATTCCTTGGCAGGTCTGGGGAAGGGAGTGGAATCTTGAAACTTAAACAGGCTTCATCAAGCAAAGTAATAAATACATTTCCTAACCTGGTGCCGATTAATGTGGCAAATCTCAGCCATGTTATGTCTTAAAGCTTTGGCATACTTTAAATGAAATAAGACCTGGTGGCACTGTTCAAGTATCACTGGGGAGTCCCTGAAGAACCTTGTAGTTGAAGTCAACAGTGGTGCCAATATGAACTGGTTGATTTTTGGCACTTTTAAGTTCAAGTCAAAACTGTGTTTACTGATGGACTGTTAGATTGAAGAAAGGTTAAAGACGATCAGGTTCAGATGATAACTTTTTGTGCAAATGTGCAGAAAGATCAGTGGATTTTATACATAGGTAAGTAAATTACATAGGTTGAAATTTAACTTTATTCCAGAATTTCCTTTAAGCCATTTTAAAGTGTATGTGTGGGGAAGGTTCAGATTTCTAATAAGATTCTCTCTTAATATATTCCTTGTATAGTGACAATTAAAGCTGTATCATTCTTTGAAGAATGAATCCAAAGCTTTTCCACAACATGAAACAATGCCTAACTCAATTCATCACTCTCTTGACAGAGTCCTTACTTTCCTCTGTTTCTATGTATTAATTACTTAACAAGAAAAAGCTGATGACCATCTTAACACTGAAGAGTCAGAGTGTTGTTCTTCACCTGATTCCTGCTTCTACAGCCCTCATGTCTTGAATGAGTTATATCAGGAGTTAAAACTGGTGGCACAATTGCTGCCATGTACAAATTTATTGCCCTGGAGGGGCAGTCATCAAGGATGAAGATTAAAGAACATAACCTAGAAGGTCCTTCCATAAAGGCCAGCATTTTGCAATGGAAGAAGGAAGTGCAAAGGATAAAAGGCCATCGATAACGTTGGAAGCCTTGAAAATGAACATTGAGAAGGGCAAATATGTTTTTCTTTATGCAAGCAACCACATTTGCACATGAATGAGGAAATGTACACACCTGGTATTCTCTATTCATATTCTTCTGATTTTGACATCTTAGCAAGAAACAAAAAAAATCCAGTATATTTGACCAATCAAACACTTCAGTCAGTGAAGCAAGAGAAAGTGATAGCTGGCAATTCCTCTACAAACTCTTGTAATAACTGAAAAGGGTGGGGAGGAAGTGGAACACGAAAGTCATTCCCAGGCAAATCAAGTGAAAAAACTCATGTCAAACTGTGCAGTTAAATGAACAACACTGATTAATTATTCTTCACTACAAACTGCAAACATCTAGATCATTCTAGTGATCTTGGTTACAAGACAATCTCTGCACAGTACAAATAGATAAATGTTTTGTTCTAATTAATTTGTACTATTTAAGTAATGTTAATACCACACAGCACATTTTCATCCTTCCCATTGACTAGGTAAATCTCTTGCAGTAACACAGTTTTGTTCCCTAGGACTTCTTCTGGTAGCTTGAAGTGTTTTTCAGCACATTGTTCTGTGAAAGAATCTTCACCAAGCTTCAATAGCACTTTCTCTTCTGCTGACTATTAGGAGACTTCTGCAGACATACTGCCTTTTGTGAGGTCCAAATGAAAGCCATTGAAAAGACAAAGATTAATCAGCTTTCATCCATGACCGTATGAAAGTACTTACAACGGTGTCCACAGACTTCTGCACAAAATAATGATAGTCTGAATACACACGTTACGACACAATGAGGTAGCTTATTCCAATTTATCAAATTCCTTGATGGCCTCTTGGGTGTTGTTGCCTATGTCATGTGAAACATGTCATTGCAAATCAACTAGCATGTATTTAGTGGTGAGGATACAGGTGGATCAGAACTGTCTACTGCTAAGAGTCAAAATCCACTGCATTTACTGGTAGACTTCATAGAATCATAGAACCCCAGGCTTGTTTGGGTTGAAGGGACCTTAAAGTTCATCCAGTTCCAACCCCTGCCATGAGCATGGACACCTTCCACTAGAGGGGTTGCTCCAAGCCCCTCTATCCAGCCTGGCCTTGAACACTTTCAGGGATGGGGAAGCCACAGCTTTTCTGGGCACCCTGTGCCAGTGCCTCAGCACCCTCACAGGGAAGAATTTCTTGAATAGGAAGGTTCTCAGCACAGAAATCATTCACCAGGCACATGTGTTTTAGAACATGACCCTGTACTCCTCATCAAATCCAGTTCTATTGAACCCTGCATTTCTATAATATGTGTAGGTCAAGGGAGGAGGCCAAAAATAAGGATGAGTCTGAGACACCAACTACTTTAGCAGTGTTTTCTAAAGCAACATTTAACATGGAAACAACTTGGTACTTCTACCTTGCATTCTGATACAACCTTGATATATCTCCACCTGGGAGCTTTAGCACAGATCTAGGGTGGGAAGATTCAGCTCTGAACAGCACAACCACATTGCAGGCTGAAGACACCAACAACCTAGGTCTAGGATCTTTCTGCTTTTCTAATTGTCACAATAATATTAATAGACTAAGAGAAGTAGAAAAAGTGCCATCAAACTGTGCCCTGGGACATGTTGGGTTAACAACACCACAGCAGAAAGACCACAGCAGAAAGAGGGGCAGGAGCAAAAACAGCAGTCCTGGGAAGAGCAGATGGGAAGTTCCTCTTCTAGAGAGGCAAGAAAACTCCGGTCCAAGAAAGTCTTCTCTGTGTTGAGCAGGTGGTTGGATTTCTCCAAGCCTGGATAATCTCTGGTCCACACAACAGGACTAGATAAAAGGCATGTCAACCTCCTGGATAACTCTACCTTTCAGAGGTGGCTGTAGGCAGAGAGGAGTGGAGGACCTTCCTCAAGCCTCATTCCTCATGTGTATTAAAAATTAACTTTCATTGTGTGTGGGCAATGCCAGCCCCTCCTTGTATGGTCCCTTCTCAACAGCATGGAGGGGCGATGAGAGGCCTGCCTGGAATCACCAGGAGAAGGCAGCTTGAGGTAAGAAATGGTACAGGCTGTAATGCTGATTTCTGTCAGAGCTGCCCCCATCCTCCTTGTCAGGTCAGGATGTCATGCTGGAGTACAGCCCACCTTCCTTACACGTCACCACTTTGTCCCTGGCTCATCTAACACACAGTACATTATCCTCTTACCAATGAACTTCCCTCTTTCATAGCTGGCTAGTAAACACGAAAGGCTAAAGTAGAGCATTTCTCAATCAAATACCAATGACCTTTCCACCTGTATTAAGTACCTGCTCCCAGACAGATTCTTCCTTTATTATTTTTTCTTCATTTTGTTTTCACATGGGGATAGGAGACAGGCCACACTTCCTTATGGCAGCTTATGTGCATTCTTTCTCTCCCCCTCGTTACAGGTGTAGAAATGCATAAGAACAAGAGCAGAAATCATTACTTGGCAAAGTCATTTTGTCAGAAGCCATGTTCTTCCCGACAATAACTTAGCTGGGAGTTCAAATATTGAGAGGTATTAGTTATTTAGCTTTAAATAGTAAGTTTTAAGTAGATTGAGTCACTTAGAGTTATAATATTGTGTGGTTTATTATGCTGTTTACTTAGCTTTACTTGCTTAGCACCAGTAGTTACAGTTGTTGAAACCTTAGGCTGCAAGCTGTGGACTTTTACCTAGATATCCTTTCAGCTGGAACAGTTAACCTTCTTTGTAATTTTTGTAGTAGCTGGTACAGTGCTGTGATTTGTCTTTACTGTGAGAAGAATGTTGATAACACACTGATGTTTTAGTGGCTGCTAAGTAATGCTTACCCTAGGTCTGGGACTGAGTGTCCCAAGCTCTGCTGATGAGCAGGTGCACAAGAAAGGCAAACCAGAAGATAAGGTGACTACAGCCATCAGCAGAAGCTGCAACTTGACAAGATAAGAACAGTTAATAGCCTGCTTGCATGGAGACTGAGAAAGAATCCATAAAGGTGTTAGAAGACCTCAGACCAAAACGCACCATTGGACTAAAAAGGTGCATGAAGTGTGCATGAAGGGTGGGTACTGGTCTCTTCTCTCAAGTAACAAGTGATAAGATGAAATGACCTCAAGTTGTACCATGGAAGGTTTGGACTGGCTATTAGGAACAATTCCTTCCCCAAAAGGTGGTCACGCATTGGAACAGGCTGCCCAGGGCAGTGGTGGAGAGGACACCATTCCTGGAAGTGTTCACACACCACGTACATGAGGCCCACAGTGACATGGGTTAGTGGTGGATTTGGCAGTCCTGGTGTAATGGTTGGAGTTGGTCATCTTAAAGATTTCTACCAACCAACCTGATTCTATGATATTTTTGCTTCAGGTTTCTCTCTGGAGGCACCCAGCTCTAGCTGCCCCTTTGGCTGTACCACTCAATCACTAAATTATTTCTCCCTGGGATCAGATCTGAGATTCTGCCATGGGACACCTAGAATTGAACTGGAAGGAAGAGAGCATGTGTGTGAGCCAGGAGTTGGAAAAGGCACCCATTGGCTCACTGGAGCTTCCTGCTGTGAAGGGACTCTGGTTCCAGCAGGTGGGTGGTGTGTGTGCAGCTCCTTGAATAGTGTGTGAGCACTCAGGCAGAGGCTTCTCCCCTAATGCAGACCAATAGGTGGCATGTTTGCAAGCGCACAAAAAAGTATTGCTCAAAAAATCATAGAATCACAGAATGGTTTGGGTTGGAAAAGACCTTGAGATCATCGAGTTCCAACCCCCCTGCCATGGGCAGGGACACCTCACACTAAACCATGTCACCCAAGGCTCTGTCCAACCTGGCCTTGAACACTGCCAAGGATGGAGCATTCACAGCTTCCTTGGACAACCCACTCCAGTGCCTCACCACCCTAAAAGGATTTCTTCCTTATGTCCACACTAAACCATGTCACCCAAAGCTCTGTCCAATCTGTACTTGAACACTCCCAGGGATGGAGCATTTACCACTTTTCTGAGCAACCTGTGCCAGTGCCTCAGCACCCTCACAGGGAAGAACTTCTTCCTTATATCCAATCTAAACTTCCTCTGTTTCAGTTTGAACCTGTTACCCCTTGTTCTACCACTGCAGTCCCTAATGAAGAGTTCCTCTCCATCCTTGTAGCCTCCTTCACATACTGGAAGGCTGCTATGAGGTCTCCACGCAGCCTTCTCTTCTCCAGGCTGAACAGCCCCAACTTTCTCAGCCTATCTTCATGCAGGAGGTGCTCCAGCCCCTGATCATCCTCGTGGCCTCCTCTGGACTTGTTCCAACAGTTCCATGTCCTTTCTTTCCTGCTTTTTCTTGATTACACATTTATGTAACAGATTTGATTTATCTTCTATACAAAATCTTATAAATGCCCTACATTTCCCACAGAAATAAGTAATTGTGAAGAACCACACCCCCTAAATAAAGAATGCTGCACAGGAGCATGGTTCATTGTTAAGGTATTTTTACTGCAAAGAAACATTTCTCTCAGAGTACTTTCCAAAGTATCTTATGGTGCTACAAAGGGGTTTTATCTGTGTATCAGCAATGGCAAAATAAGTCAGTTCTTCATTCTCAAGTCACTTAAATCAGTCTTCTCAGACAGACACTCAAACAGGAGCTCAACTGAGATGCTCTGAAATGTCCAGTGTTGAAAATGGTACCTTATTCGGATGCTGGGATGGAAGAATCAACCTGTCTTAGGACCTGAAGTGTATTTGTACTTTATTTAAAGCCAGGCTCCTTTATAGGTTCAGCTCATGGTAACACTTGGTGTTCCCTTGATACAGATTTTCAGTCTGAATCTTGATACAGATCATTCAAACAAAATCTAGGTGGAATAGTCAAGTGAGAGTTACCCTCTACACAGATTGCAAAACCGAACAGTGAAGCAGATGGCTGCTGAAAATGGTCTTCCACCTTGGAAGGTCTTGGTGTGCCTCTCACATTATCTGGTATGGGATGGGTTCATGCAGCTTACGCTTCAAAAGAAATCCCCCCACTGTGAGAACAGCAGCAGCCAGCACCACAATAGTCACAGCCAGAGGAACGTGAGAGCTGGCAGCAGTCACTGCGTCCCGAGACTCCCCTTTCACCTTGATGTCAGATGCCAGCTCTGTGCATAAAAAGGGAAAGAAAGAGGTTTACATTTGTTTTCCTGACCTGGTTAATCTCAAAGGTAGTTAGGCAAAGAGAGCTTGAACCAAAATGTTGCAATCTGGATTTTGCCAGATTACCAGAAACCAAGTTGGTTTATTGTACATTGTGTCATCAATGATTCTGTGCCCATGCCAAACAAGTAAAGATTACGGCAAAAAGTTAAAGAGCAACTAAGTTTGTAATGATTATACTCTAAGACCATAAGCTGCTGCTTTCTTATAGTAGAACCAGCAGCTACAGGACAGTGGGAAACACGATTTGCAAGGGGACCTATGGATTGGTTGCTAATAAATGTGACATGCCAGTCAGGCACAGGCAGCTTTGAAAAAGTAATATAATCCTGCAGGGAGATGAGTTGCATCTCATCCCTCTTCCCACAGAACTGAATAAATTGCCATTTGACATGTGCAGAATAAATAATGGATCTAAACTGTGAGAGAAAGGAAACAGTTGTAAACTTTACAGAGCAATTGTATTTAAAAAGTAATAAAAAATTCCACGGAAGAATTAGAGCAGAGTGGTGGATAAACCAGCAAAGGCATATTTGAGAGCTGAATTTCATGTCTGACACACAAACATACAGTAATACACAGAGTCTTACGTTATCTAAGTTATTTAAACTTACCCGCATTCCTGTTCTCAGCATGAGCTTCCCGAAGCTGGACAGGTCCAATAACAACACTCATTTTTTCATGGGAAGAGCCTGCATCCCTCTTGAATCTATTAACACAACCTTGATAGCAGCGGGAAGAGTAGTCATAGGCCCTGCACACCACCAGCTCACACTGCAGGTAAACTGATTGGTATCGATTAACAAATGAAAAAGCATTAAAGGCAAACCGAGCAACACTGCTGTATGGTGAATAGTAAGAAGAGTAGGTAGGATCCTTGACACACCTAGGAAGACATAAAATGAACAGATTAGCTATTGTGAATAAAATCAATATTACACTATCTCTGTGCAGTATTTCTGTGCTTAAATATAAAAATAGAAGGTGAAAGTGTAAGAGAACTCAAAATGATAGAGAGAAAAAGTGGTTTTAGCAACAAGAGCAATTAAGACAAAAGCGTACGAGTGGCAGTGATTTCTACCACAGTATGCATGTGATAGAGGGGTTTCATAGCTCAACAAATTTTATGTAAACAAGAATAGCTGAAAAATAGCTGAACCAAGAATAGCTGAAAAATGACTAGTGGTTCTGCTGGTTTCTGTGTTTCAGGTGAGGACCTGGGTTGCATTTGCAAACAGGATTACTCACTGCAAGGAGGCCCCTGCAGCTTGTTGCAGAAAGAGAAAGGGCCCCTTTCTATAATAGAAGGACAAAAATTATACCAATATACATTTTATTCTGGAAAATAAGCATGCTCTTCAGTCCTTCAGTGTATGTAGAGTACCTCGCTTGAGGAATCTGGACTCCTCACCGAGGTCTCCAGATGTTTCACAGGGCAAGCTGCTTGGTTAACTTTCCTGCCAACGAGTTTCACTTCCTGACAATTTCTAACCTTAGAAGTTACCTAACCTGGATCCTGGTCATTCTGGTTTAATTTTAAAAGATCACCATAATTCATCCACAATTGTTACCCCAGGATATTTCAAAGTTGTCTTCATTTATATTCACGCTCATTTCCCTAATAAACACACCAAGAGTTTTAAGTCCTCTCATTCTTAATTTCTTTTATACTGCAGTGGTATCCCAACACACTTGATCTTTATAATGTCAGTGACTTAGTGTTCAAGGCTAGGTTGGATGGGGCTTGGAGCAACCTGGTCCAGTGGAAGGTGTCCCTGCCTGTAGCAGGGTTTGGAACTGGACGAGCTTTAACCTCCCATCCAACCCAAACCATTCTAGGGTTCTATGAAATACGTTTGCTTTTTGCACGGTTCCATGTCACCACTCCCTGGTGAACGTCCAGCTCACAAAGGTAGGCAGTCCTTCTGTGTCCCACTTACTGATATGTGTTTTTATAGTTAAAATAAAAAGAAAACCCAACAAGAGGACAAAACCGTCCTAAGATTCTTATCAAGTGTAAAAGGGAAGACATTCACTCAACAGGCAGGAGGCACTGTGTCCTTTCATTAGCTTGTCATAAGCCTGATTTACAGCTTAGCAGTAGGATACCACACTGCTAAGGTTACTGATGTGAACACCTTCCTGGGAGACAGAGAAATTTCAATCTCACCAAGCACAGAAGACAAATAAGCTAAAATGAGTTTTTCATTCCTGGAACAAAATGGAACACTGAGAGCCACACCTTTATGCTTTTAGTTCCTTGTCGGTTTTGCGTCCTTTACAAGAATCCACAACTTTTCCATTTCAAATCAGAAGGCACAAATTAAGCAAAATGTTTTAGGTTTCTAGAGTAGCAAAGGAAGGCTAAATAATTTCTCTTCTCTTTGAACGGACTGTTTTGCACTCTAATTATGATGCTGTGAAATCTTAATTCTTGTGTATGGAAACATAGAACCATTGGCATCCCAACAATTCATGTATCAATTTCAGAAACAAATTCAGGCCCCAGTTTCTATGCTGCCTCCTTGAGTGTGCTCAGTGCTTGACTGCAACTTCTGAATGGCATTTTTTTGTTATATTTTCTTCAGGCTTTCCCAAAAGGTCTTTCTTAGAAGTATGTTTGTATTGAGAATTGCAACCAACATACACTGGCCCTCAGTCACCTCTTTCATAAATGAATCTCTTTCAGAACTATGCCTGCAAATACTTAAGTCATTCTAGAAAGTCCTTACCCACTTCTGATCAATTCATAAGCCAGTGTTCTAAAGTTGTTAGGATCAGGTGATGCCACACATGTGTCCACAAACACCACCAGATTTGGGTCAGAGCTGTGAAGGGAAGCTTGAAGGAACAAGTTCTGATTCAGGTCAACGTAGTATGGGAAGTCATGCACTGGCCACAAGAAAGATGAGGAATTGTAGAATGTCAGGTTCATGCTGTATCTGCCATACTGGGACAGACTTTCATTGACATTAATGATGTCATTGGCAATGTACATCGCTTGTACCCAGGTGTTCCGGAGCATTTTGCAGTTGACACTCAAGTAAAGGTCGCTTTGCCTCTTGATGATGTAACCGAAAGCAGGCACTCTTATCACATTGGAGTAGGTGATCGTTTCATTGTTGCCCTGTTCAAAACATTAAACGAGTACAAAATCATTGCATGTAGTCATGTTCACAGTGTGTACTGTGAAGTTCTGCATTGTACCAGGTCCTAATATTAGTCAGAACTTGTCATACTCAGAAACCCCAAGCAACATGGGTGGGTTTGTTCACTTAACTATCAACTATACTTTGTTCTCTACACCATCACTCTGAAACAGATACAGGGACTGCCTAAGCACTGGGAAGGATAAGCAGGAATGTTTAAGAAATCTTAGCCTCCAGAAGCACATTTCTTTTCTGTGTTTTGAATGCCTGTGGGCTTCAACACCATTTGCAATCCATTACAGTTTTGCAAATGTCTATTAAATTTCCAAGCCCAAACCTGGAGAACTCTCCAAAATATGTTGACACCTACCTGTCTATGTGTACCACAGCCATTGTATGGAATGTTGAATATAACCTCAGTTGATGTAAATGTTGGTCTACAGTAAGGATCAGACAAGCTGATGTTCCACACTGAATAGCCCTGTGACTGGAGATAACGCCTGTCCACTGCTGCGCGCATGTATGTTGGAAAGCATACAAGAGCTAGAGAAGAAAATGTGAATTACAAATTATTTCAGGTACTTGACAATATTTGCATACAACCATAGAAACAGCTAGGTTGGAAAAGACCTTTATGATCATCTAGTCCAATTGTTGCCCCAGGACTGCCAAGGCCACCACCAAACCATATCACTAAGGGCCTTGTCTACACAGTTTTTGGATGGTGATTCCACCACTTCCCTGGGCAGCCTGTTCCAATGCCTGTTACAGCTTCAACAAATGCAATAGCCTGCCATTTAGCGGAGAGAATTCATAAGACAAACCACTTATTTTTGCATCTTAGACATGAATAAGCAGGAGTCTCTGACAAACTTCAGCAGACCGTCAGTTACTAACCTGACCAAAACATGTAGCTTACAATAGGCTTTTGCTGAGACCTTGAGTCTGTATCACCTGTATACACAAAAATGCTAAAAAGTGGGATTTTTTTCTGAACAAGAATCCAAAAGCTATTATAGAAGGTGTAGAGCTAAATGTACACAATGGCTTACAGAAATGCTGTGTAAGTAGGGGGATCATAGAATCATAGAAAAGTTAGGGTCAGAAAGGACCTTTAGGTCATCATGACAGTTCAGTGAGTCCATGGCGTGAAAAACAATGACATGGGGGAGAGTCTGGCCATTAGTACAGAGAGATATCTGATGACAGGCAGCAGTTCTGCTTTGAATACTTGGACTAGGAAGCCTCCAAAGATCCTTTCTAAGCAATATTTCTATGATTCCATGAAAATCTGCCCACAAAGGTAGGAAAAAAAAATATGAATAATGTTGTGATAAGAAGAAATATGATTTTAGACTGGCCATTGTAGAAAATATCTCAAGGCAATTAATTTGATGCTTAAAATGGTTTTTAAATGAAAAAAAGATTATTCTCTGATGGCTATAATTTTGAAATTCAAGTAGGAATGTCACCTATGTGCAACATTAATACTTATTTAGCAAATAAAATAGAGGTATAAAAGCTTCTAAGCAAAGAAAACATTACAAGCAGAATGGAAACTTACTGGTGTTATGGTCTGTTGGAATGGATCGATACTCAGCATGAAACCCTCTACCGGTATACCTGGAGTCACTGCGAAACCTGACAGCCATGAAGTTGGACGATGATGTGTATGTAGGACCATAATTAGAACAAATTCTTCCAAGCAGAGGAGAAGTGTTGGGTGGCCCATCATAAATCTCAATATAGTCATTCTGGCATCCACCTTGCAACCTGAGGAAGAAACATGAATGTATAATAAAATACATTTGAAACCCTCGGGTTTTAAGTGCTGACAAATAATAAACTAAATAATAAAAAATAAATAAATTAAATAATAAAAAACAACAAATAATAAACTAAAATACTTCGCTCACACGATAGCCATGCAAATTATAATCATGGGATACGTGCCTGGGAATTTGGGTTGGAACTAGGTAATTTTAGAGTCCTTCCCAACCCTATGATTCTAACTGTGGTTGCAGTAGAGGTCTGAGACTCATTTGTTCCCCAAGCAAGAAGCAGTTTACTTACTGAATATTTCTAAATGTGAGTGTAATGCGGAAATTATTCTCCACTTGTATTTGCCACAGACAGTCTGCATTATCTGGATAATTCAGAGGATAATAAGGACTCTGAAGTGTTCCGGAGGGATTAAAAAGTAAGCCACCACAAATATATTTTTTAGCTGAAAAAAAAAAAATATATATATAAATGTGATATATTTAGATTGATTTATAATAAAATGAAAATATATTCTATCTAGAATCATAGAATCATAGAATAGTTAGGGTTGGAAAGGACCTTAAGACCATCCAGTTCCAACTCCCCCTGCCATGGGCAAGGACACCTCACACTAAACCATATCACCCAAGGCCTCATCCAACCTGGCCTTGAACACTGCCAGGGATGGAGCATCCACAACCTCCCTGGGCAACCCATTCCAGTGCCTCACCACGCTAACAGGAAAGAATTTCCTCCTTATATCCAATCCAAACTTCCCCTGTTTAAGTTTGAACCCATTACCCCTTGTCCTATCACTACAGTCCCTAATGAAGAGTCCCTCCCCAGCATCCCTATAGGCCCCCTTCAGATACTGGAAGGCTGCTATGAGGTCTCCACGCAGCCTTCTCTTCTCCAGGCTGAACAGCCCCAACTTTCTCAGACTATCTTCATATGGGAGGTACGTATCTCTAGAGAGAGAACTGAAGAATGGTGCTATTCTGACTCAGGCTACAAGTGGGATGATCTCTTCAGAGATCTCTGAGTCTCTGATTCCATTTTGCATTTGGTAGGCTTAAGACATAAGTGGGTATGAAAGGAAACAAGTGGTGCTGGCCCAAATAACAAAAAAAATAGTGAAGAAAAGAAATATTTCTCCACAAAATCAATACAGTCTGAAGTCCCACCCCAGGAAAATAATCAGGCAGACACAGGGGAGATACATGTAGGATTTAAACAGCACCCCCAACGGCTTTTCCCAAAAGCATTACAACGTGTGAATGCTATGACTCCAACATAAAATCTTGCAAAAAATAAATCTCAAAAGTAATGCACCATATAAATAGAAAAGAGAATATGAACCTGGAGTCGTCACTGGTGGAGTGGGAACACTGGTAACATTAGTGCCATCTGCAGAGAAGCAAAAGAAAGAAGCAGATGAGAACACCGTGGAAGAAGGGACAAGGCCATGGTTTCTTCCAGCACTGGGGAAGATATAGCCAGCCCATCACATGGGGCATGGAGAGCCTGGTGATCTTGACAAGCTGGTCATCTACAGTGCGAGCAACAAACAACATAACAGTTGAAGATGTCACCAACAAAGAGTCAATTGCAGACCACAAGAACCCATTTTTGAAACTCTCCTGAATTTTGCAAAGAGAAAGCAATGATACCTGAGCAGACAACACCAGCATCTTCACTGTGGCCACAGTTGTGGACACCCCAGCCATTGTGGCTGCACTGGAAGAGGGAGGACTCATTCCCGGTGCAGCGCACATCGTCCAGGTAGATACTGCCCGTGCCTTGTCCAAAGTAGGCATTGGATGTTGCAGCAACAGCAAAGCCACATCCCAGCTGCCTGCACACAACCTCGGCATCCCTCAGGTCCCAGCTGTCGTCGCAGACGGTGCCCCGGCCCCCAGAGTGCCAAATCTCTACGCGCCCCTCACATTGGTGTCTACCGTTCACCAGGCTCAGGGAGGCACCTGGGAAAGGAGGAGACAGGGAAAAGGTGGGAAAAGCTCTAGGACTGCCACTCTCTGCTTGCTGAGGCTGTGTCTTTCCTTGTCTCTGCTCTCCCATGGAGAAGATCCAAGCCCAACCTCTGAGCCACTGACTGGCACTGCCAAAAGAAGTGGCCAGGAAAACCATGAGAAATGGAGACCTACCTGGAGGAACGGATGTTATGAAGCTCTCTGTGGTCGAGGTTGTGGCATCTGTAGGAGAAAAAGAGAAGGAAGCATGTGAGGATGCCATGGAGAAGGATGAAAGCCATGGATTCTTCCAGCACTGGGGATGCTAGCTAGTGTCAGCCCAGCAGATGGACAGTGCACATCTTGTGTGTCTGAGGAGCCTGGTCACCCATGAAGGAAGCAACAGAAACACAATCTCTGAAGATGTCGCCAACACAGAGTCAATTGTGGACCACAATAACCTGTATTTGAAACTCTCCTGATGAGTGCAAAGGGAAGGCAATGATACCTGAGCAGACAACACCAGCGTCTTCACTGTGGCCACAGTTGTGGACACCCCAGCCATTGTGGCTGCACTGGAAGAGGGAGGACTCATTCCCGGTGCAGCGCACATCGTCCAGGTAGATACTGCCCGTGCCTTGTCCAAAGTAGGCATTGGATGTTGCAGCAACAGCAAAGCCACATCCCAGCTGCCTGCACACAACCTCGGCATCCCTCAGGTCCCAGCTGTCATCGCAGACGGTGCCCCGGCCCCCATAGTGCCAAATCTCTACGCGCCCCTCACATTGGTGTCTACCGTTCACCAGGCTCAGGGAGGCACCTGGGAAAGGAGGAGATAGGGAAAAGGTGGGAAAAGCTCTAGGACTGCCACTCTCTGCTTGCTGAGGCTGTGCTTTTCCCTTTGTCTGCTCTCCCATGGAGAAGATCCAAGTCCAATCTCTGAACCACTGACTGGCACTGTCAAAAGAGGTGGCCAGGAAACCCATGAGAAATGGAGACCTACCTGGAGGAACGGATGTTATGAAGCTCTCTGTGGTCGAGGTTGTGGCATCTGTAGGAGAAAAAGAGAAGGAAGCATGTGAGGATGCCATGGAGAAGGATGAAAGCCATGGATTCTTCCAGCACTGGGGATGCTAGCTAGTGTCAGCCCAGCAGATGGGCAGTGCACATCTTGTGTGTCTTAGGAGCCTGGTCACCCATGGAGGAAGCAACAGAAACACAATCTCTGAAGATGTCGCCAACACAGAGTCAATTGTGGACCACAACAACCTGTATTTGAAACTCTCCTGATATTTGAAAGGAAAGCAATGATACCTGAGCAGACAACACCAGCGTCTTCACTGTGGCCACAGTTGTGGACACCCCAGCCATTGTGGCTGCACTGGAAGAGGGAGGACTCGTTCCCGGTGCAGCGCACATCGTCCAGGTAGATACTGCCCGTGCCTTGTCCAAAGTAGGCATTGGATGTTGCAGCAACAGCAAAGCCACATCCCAGCTGCCTGCACACAACCTCGGCATCCCTCAGGTCCCAGCTGTCATCGCAGACGGTGCCCCGGCCCCCAGAGTGCCAAATCTCTACGCGCCCCTCACACTGGTGTCTACCGTTCACCAGGCTCAGGGAGGCACCTGGGCATGGAGGAGATAAGGAAAAGGTGGGAAAAGCTCTAGGACTGCCACTCTCTGCTTGCTGAGGCTGTGTCTTTCCTTGTCTCTGCTCTCCCATGGAGAAGATCCAAGCCCAACCTCTGAGCCACTGACTGGCACTGTCAAAAGAAGTGGCCAGGAAAACCATGAGAAATGGAGACCTACCTGGAGGAACGGATGTTATGAAGCTCTCTGTGGTCGAGGTTGTGGCATCTGTAGGAGAAAAAGAGAAAGAAGCATGTGGGGATGCCATGGGGAAGGATGAAGTCCATGGATTCTTCCAGCACTGGGGATGCTGGTGTCAGCCCATCAGAAGGGCAGTGCATTTCATGTGTGTCTTAGGAGAGCCTGGTCACCCATGCAGGAAGCAACAGAAACAAAATCTTTGAAGATGTCGCCAACACAGAGTCAATTGTGGACCACAAAAACCCATTTTTGAAACTCTCCTGATGACTGCAAAGGGAAGACAATGGTACCTGAGCAGACAACACCAGCGTCTTCACTGTGGCCACAGTTGTGGACACCCCAGCCATTGTGGCTGCACTGGAAGAGGGAGGACTCATTCCCGGTGCAGCGCACATCGTCCAGGTAGATACTGCCCGTGCCTTGTCCAAAGTAGGCATTGGATGTTGCAGCAACAGCAAAGCCACATCCCAGCTGCCTGCACACAACCTCGGCATCCCTCAGGTCCCAGCTGTCATCGCAGACGGTGCCCCGGCCCCCATAGTGCCAAATCTCTACGCGCCCCTCACATTGGTGTCTACCGTTCACCAGGCTCAGGGAGGCACCTGGGAAAGGAGGAGACAGGGAAAAGGTGGGAAAAGCTCTAGGACTGCCACTCTCTGCTTGCTGAGGCTGTGCTTTTCCCTTTGTCTGCTCTCCCATGGAGAAGATCCAAGCCCAATCTCTGAACCACTGACTGGCACTGCCAAAAGAAGTGGCCAGGAAACCCAAGAGAAATGGAGACCTACCTGGAGGAACGGATGTTATGAAGCTCTCTGTGGTCAAGGTTGTGGCATCTGTAGGAGAAAAAGGGAAGTAAGCATGTGAGGATGCCATGGAGAAGGATGAAAGCCATGGATACTTCCAGCACTGGGGAAGCTAGTGTCAGCCCAGCAGATGGGCAGTGCACATCTTGTGTGTCTTAGGAGCCTGGTCACCCATGGAGGAAGCAACAGAAACACAATCTCTGAAGATGTCGCCAACACAGAGTCAATTGTGGACCACAACAACCTGTATTTGAAAGTGTCTTGGTATTTAAGAAAGAAAAGCAATGATACCTGAGCAGACAACACCAGCATCTTCACTGTGGCCACAGTTGTGGACACCCCAGCCATTGTGGCTGCACTGGAAGAGGGAGGACTCGCTCCCGGTGCAGCGCACATCGTCCAGGTAGATACTGCCCGTGCCTTGTCCAAAGTAGGCATTGGATGTTGCAGCAACAGCAAAGCCACATCCCAGCTGCCTGCACACAACCTCGGCATCCCTCAGGTCCCAGCTGTCATCGCAGACGGTGCCCCGGCCCCCAGAGTGCCAAATCTCTACGCGCCCCTCACATTGGTGTCTACCGTTCACCAGGCTCAGGGAGGCACCTGGGAATGGAGGAGATAGGGAAAAGGTGGGAAAAGCTCTAGGACTGCCACTCTCTGCTTGCTGAGGCTGTGTCTTTCCTTTTCTCTGCTCTCCCATGGAGAAGATCCAAGCCCAACCTCTGAGCCACTGACTGGCACTGCCAAAAGAAGTGGCCAGGAAAACCATGAGAAATGGAGACCTACCTGGAGGAACGGATGTTATGAAGCTCTCTGTGGTCGAGGTTGTGGCATCTGTAGGAGAAAAAGAGAAAGAATCATATGAGGATGCCATGGAGAAGGATGAATGCTATGGATTCTTCCAGCACATCTGGTGTCAGCACATCTTGTGTGCCAATGGATAGCTTTAGGGAGCTGGTCATCCATGGTTTGAGTAAGTAAAACCACAGCCTTTAAATATGTCTCCAAAACATTAATCCCTAGGGAAAGAAATGCTAATTTCTTGTTTACCTAGAGTCCTTGTAGGTGTAACATCCCTGGAAGCATTTAAGGTTACTTTAGACAGTGCTCTGATCTATCTCCTGTCTGAAGTCACGTTCCAATTCAAACCATTATGCAGTTTATCATTGATTCTATGAAACTATGATTCTTTGTGTAAATGTCTTGTTTTAGTGAGTGTCTAAATTTGAGAATGGAAGCAAAAAATTCATATGAGTTATGTTTTCTGTAGAGAGATGCATCTTTTAGGTTGTGTTGCATTCCACCTCAGAGCTTTGCTCTCTCCAGGTTTTCATGCTGCATGCCCATTAGCCCCAAGGGCTGTCAGACTGATGCCCTGCCTTGGTTCAAATGTTTCACAGCACCATGCTCCTACATGTGCCTCCTGCCACTGGGCATTTTCAGGTCCCTGAGCTGGAATACTCACTAGTACTGCCCCAAAATAATGCATAGACAGAAAACATGAAAAATGCAGATGCACATGAAGAATTGGCATGGTGGCCATGGCGATGATACCTGTAATTGTGAATAAGGGAAAGAAGCAAGTGAGGAATTTTTAATTTTAATAACATTGTGAAGACTACCTCTCTCAGATCTATGAATTTCACTTAACTGTTTCAGAAATGAAAATAAGAACAGTATTGAGGAACTTGCTTCTAAGGAGACTCACTTGTTCCACATGGTGACTAGTACAACAGCAGATGGAGACTCACAGCTTTGGACAAGACAGACAAAAGAGGTGTGGTGAATATTTGTTGGAAGAGGAGTTTTAGGAAAAAGATCTGTTGCATCTTTTGCTCACTGACATGCATCCTCTCATGATATAGAGGCATCCTTCCCTCTAGGACATATTAGTAACCAATTTTAAAAACTTCTTCATTAATACCATATAGAGTACAATATCTGCCTTACTATTATACTTCCCTTAAATTTTATAAAGTTAAATAAGTATTGGGTGGTTCCATGTGCATCAGCAAGGCTGAATTTTAAGTGTTTCAAAGCAAATATGCATTGCAGCTGAATAAATTATATTCCCTCTTAATTCCATACTGAAAGCCACACATGTATAGGAACAAAATATTCCAGTAGTATTTTCATGGTAGTAATTTTTTAAATTTGGTTTATACTGTGCTACAAGACACTACTGCAAACCAGAATAATATTTGTTTCATTGTACTAAATTTACTTCAACATGGATAATAGTTAATCACGATATCAATTGGGTCATATATTTCATAAGACAACATGATGCTACCTAATTTCAGTCTGGCTTGCTTCTAATCTTTGCACAAAGTTCATTATACTAGCTTGTGAATTCCGTGTATGGAACCAGTGCAGAGGCATTAGATATCCCTTTTTTAACTACCTGTTTCAGAAGAATGTTCTTTAAAGATTATAAGTGGTTTACCTGACATGGCATCCAGGAGTGCTGAATTAAGGAGGAATAACCAAAGCAAGTTCTTGGTGATGTCCATCTTGTCAAGAGCTGCCAATAAAGCAGAGCATCAGAATTTATACTCTGCACTTGTGAAAAGGTGAGGGTCCCAAGGTCAGTCTGGTTCAGGTATGTCTGATTTCTTATGCAATATTTTTATGACTGATCTTTACAGAATGATTATATAAGAATGCCAAAGTTTCAGTTTCCTGGAAAATTTGTCCTAGTGCCCATATTATAAATTATCTTAACGGTATGTGCAGGCCCAGTGTTACCTTTGGAACCAGACTAATGAATCAATGTGTTTCTTTGCCCCCACCATCCCAATTTTATTCATTTACTGCTTCTAGCTAATGACTTACTTAAGCAGATTGTAACGTATTGTAAGGTGAGAGAGCAAATCCATAGCAGGCTTTTTGATACATGCCTCACCAGAGAGCTCCAGTCTCATAAGTGTTTATATTTCTTATAGCTTCCACTTGAAATTACGGGCTGGTTTCCTTGCTGCTTGTACATGAACTGCACATCATAAGTGGGACTATGTCAGGTATCAGAAGTAAATTAACACCAGCTATTTGTAACCTACCCTAAGTGGACTTCATCATGCTTTGCTTTACCAATGTCTTCCCTTAATCTTCTTCTATGTCCCTTAGCTGAATTTGCCAAAAAGGCTTCTTTCAATCCTTTGAATCACAAAGTTTATAAAAAGGGAAAGGAGTATGGGTTGAAGTAAAATCAAAATTCCTGTTAGAACTGGTTTCCTTGTTTGGCCTATGAGAAGTCTTAATGGAGATATAGATCACTTAGGGTACAAAAGCCCATAATCCTGTCCTTCTAATCTGTTTGCTGGAGTCACTATTTTTCACATCTACTGTTTCTCCTCATCTGACGAGGAGAAATACAGGCCAGCTACAAACAGGCCAATTGTTGGTCTAATATTCTACTCATTACACTTCTTCCAGGCTGTACCTATGTTTTAATTTTGGCTATGATACAGATGGTAACCAAATCACAATAGTTGACATAACTCATGATTTCTGCTCATATATTTCAATTTTCCTCCTATAGAAAAGCATAGCTTGGGTCTAGAGACAGCGGAAATAAGGAGTCCTCTTTGTGCAAATGTTCACAGAGCTAGAATAGAGGAAGGAAAGACAAAAGGCCAGAGTCCAGAATCAGAAGCTTTCAAAACAGCCATTGAGAAGAACAAACAAACTGGAGGACAATGGTAAATACAACTGATTGTATTCATGTGTTAATAAAGAAATGTAAGCCTGAACATTGCTATTCACAGCTTGACTGTTCCTAACAAAAGCAAGAACTATACCATGTGCTCTCTGGAGCGACCACACACAGTTATTGGAAAGGGGCTACAGGATCATAATTCTGCTTCTAAATTCTTGAAAAATAAGACCATTGTACAGACCAGGTGTAAGCAGTTGGAAAGCAGTTTTGGAGAAAGAGGACTGGGGTTCCTGGTGAACAAACTGACCATGATCCAGTGGCATCCTGGTGTTGCATTCGGAGAAGTGCTGCCAGCAGGTTTAGGGAGGTGACCATCCGCCTGTACTCAGCACTGGTGAGACACACTTGGGTTGCAGGTTCCAGTTCCAGGCTCCCCAGTACAAGAGAGACATGGACATACTGAAGTATGCCTAGCCATTAAGATGATTAGGGAACTGGAGCATCTCTCATAAGAGTAGAGGCTCACAGAAGAGATGGTTCAGGGACATCTCATCAAGGTGTACAAAAACCTGATGGACTGGAGTAAAGACAGAGCCAGACTCCTCTCAGTGGTGCTTCATGGCAGGACAAGAAGCAACAAGCATGAATTGAAATACAGTAAATTCTATTTAAACATAACAAAAAAGAATGTCACCATGAGGGTGGTCATGCAGTGAATTGGTTCCCAGCAAGGTTATGATTCCTCCATTCTTCAAGATATTCAAACCCAGCTGCACACACTCGCACGCAACCTGTTTTCTCTGACCCTGCTTTGAGCAAGGAAATGGGTCATCCAGCCTTAGCTGGTCTATGACACGGTGAATAGAAAATCTATGGATGGTGTCAAGGAGATTCAAGAACAGAGGAAGACTAAATGCACTGAGGTTAAATTTATCTACAACAATTAAATCTCCTAGTGTGTATCTTTAACACAAACTTGGCTTTCAATTCTTGGCAGGCTTAACCAATTAGAGATTACTGGTGCATTTCTGACATTTACAGTAAATATTCTTTAACTTATATGAAAACACATGTCTTCAGGTTTGATAACAGGCACCTTTCATTTGCAGCTGCTAAAATGCCAGTGTCCTCTGTACAAAATATTCTCCTTTCTATTACGAATACTGACATCAGAGAAGCAGGAAGTTTGCTATAAAATACAGTGCTATAAAAACCTGCAAATAACCTGATGTATGAGGCTGTGCTTCTGATAGCATATCAACAATCCATCACAATTCTCACTTCAGTAGCAAATGGAAATTAAAGCCTCATTTCTTGACCACATATCACTGAGATAGATAAGATAATGGGATTGGTTTTGTCTTACCGTAATACACAAGTTCTGCTGTCCTCAACATAAAAAGGACATGGATCTGTTGGAACAAGTCCAGAGGAGGCCACGAGGATGATCAGGGGACTGGAGCACCTCCTGTATGAAGATCGGCTGAGAAAGTTGGGGCTGTTCAGCCTGGAGAAGAGAAGGCTGCGTGGAGACCTCATAGCAGCCTTCCAGTATCTGAAGGGGGCCTATAGGGATGCTGAGGAGGGACTCTTCATTAGGGACTGTAGTGATAGGACAAGGGGTAATGGGTTCAAACATAAACAGGGGAAGTTTAGATTGGATATGAGGAAGAAGTTCTTTCCTGTTAGGGTGGTGAGGCACTGGAATAGGTTGCCCAGGGAGGTTGTGAATGCTCCATCCCTGGCAGTGTTCAAGGCCAGGTTGGACAGAGCCTTGGGTGAGATGGTTTAGTGTGAGGTGTCCCTGCCCATACCAGTGGGGTTGGAACTTGATGATCTTAAGGTCCTTTCCTAACTATTCTATGATTCTATGATTCTATGATTCGATGTCAAGCACATGAAACTTAAAGAAGTTTCTCTAAGAAAATCAGTCTTAGTTAACTCATGATATCTTCTATCAGGTCTAAACTACCAAAGATGGAGTTTGTCGAGAGCTGTCATTTTTAGTGGCACTTAAAAATGTTGAAGAATACAGAAAGCTCTGCCATCTTCCTTCATCAATCATTCTCTTTCAGTTTACGAAAGAAAAAATTAAAAGATTTTTACTTACTATAATACTCTATGTTCTAGATCCATGAGCTGATTTTCTGCCGTGTGCTTCTTACAAGAGGGAGCTTGAACACAACCGTCTTGACATTGACCCTTTGTATCTGCCATGAATGCTTTGCAGGACTTCAGTCCTTAGATATGTTCCCATTTGTTTCATGCTGTACATGGATGGGTAATACCCATCAGTATTTCTCAGGCTTGTACTGTCCTTTGCTTTGACCCTACAACAGAAGAAAATTCAATTATAAGTCTAAGAAAGTGGCAAAAACAACGTATCAGAAATCTCAGGAAGGTTTATATACAGGTGAAATAAATCTGTGCCTAAGTCTTAATGTTTGCATAGTGTGTCTTGATTGAGTAGGGTCTCTTATCCACAAAACAATCTGGAAAAACTAAAGAAGTTTTGAATTGCAGCAACATCCCTCACCTCTGGTTGTAAGCACATTTGTATGTGAAATCTGGGTACGGCCACATTGGATAGCATAGAGTGATTCTTCTTCCCTTGTTCAGACTTAATCAGGCAGAAATATAGACTGTACACAGCTGCTTGGTGGTTTCCTTGAGGCTGGGGATTTCAAGCACCTATATAATTCTGCATATGCTTATATAGCAGCTGGTGGCCAGCCACATGGCTGACTGCCCCTATCTGGTATGTAGAGTTGAGTATGTTCTTAATCCTTTCGTAGAACTGTTTACACTTCTTATCCAATAGTATGTATATCAAAAGATGAAATCTTTACAAACTGATACTTACAAATTTATCTGAATATATGTTCAGGTCATGCACTACCAACTCCAGTGGCAGACCACACCATTTGATTTGGTTATGCCTAAACCAGCAGCTCAGTATTGCTTCTTTTACTGTCCCTAGCAATTAGCTCCTTATTTTAGTAGTGACCCATTTTATTCTATTTTCACCTCTTACACAGCTTTACTGTATTTGCTTTCTCATTGCCCACTCCCCTATTTGATTTAGTCTTCTGTAGATCTCTGGTCTGCTCATCTCTTTTTTCTGGGTACTGCTTCTGTCTTCCACTATGTGGCAGCTACATCTTTTCCTACTGATTTATATCTGATCCTCAAGCCCTGCTTTTACCTTCCAGCCTGTTTTTATTTATACTCCTCAATTCTAACCATCCTTAAGACTTTGAAGCATTTCTAGTTTAGTGATTTTTAGTCTTCAAGTAATGCCAGTTTCCTTTCTAAGCTTTACTGAGATATCAGATATATATCAGATGTGGGGTTAGAACTAGACGATCTTTACAGTCCCTTCCAACCCAAACCATTCTGTGATTCCATGTAGGAGAGCCTAAGGCAGCTAGCTATTGACAGAGAAGGTGTCAATCAAGATGACAGCTTGGTACCAAGACTTTCAACTCTTCTCAGTATTACCATCTGTTCACCTTCATGCCCTGACCTTGCCTTTAAATGAGAAGGACCAGCAGGAAGGAAATAGTGCTGCTAGTTGCCAAAGGGATTGAATTGCATACGAAAAGTCATCACTTCACATGCAGAAATACCTAGATAGCTGAAAAGAAACATGTGGTCAAAACAGAGAGAGTCCATCAGAGGGTTGTACTGCAGGTGTGTGCTGTGTGATTTACACAGAGACCACGTAGGGAAGTAATACACTTTTCTTTCCATGTGAAAGACTATTTCAATATAAGACACAGATATCACTCATTTAGCAGTTTCATGCATTTCCTTCTCAGCACCAGCCACTTATAAAGTGTTGCTCAACTTTTA